CCAATGACCAATACCCCCGTATAGCATAAAGACGTATTTTTAACTCAAGCATCAATGGCAGAGATGCTAAGGAACCAAATTTTAAGCGAAAAGCATCCAAAGAGATTAAATTAAGAGATTACAATCGTAGACTCGTTTGCAGTCAACGAAAGGCTTATACAAATTTTGCGCTCTCTTCCTCTATTGAAGAACAAGGTTTACGAATTTGAATGAAATGTATTCGGCTTTTATCGTAAGGCTCCTAAAATTGAAAGAAACTACTCTTAGCGGAGTTGTGTTTCTTTGATAAAAAGGATTATCTTATTGAGAACACATTGCATTTCTTCTAGCTCCCCCTAAATTTCATGGTTCCCCTTTCTGGCGAACCCCTACCCATGTGAACATTCTAGAAGCTATTAAATTCCCGATTTGCGAAACAAACCCCCCGCCACCCCGAAGTGATCAAAATCATTTACGAGCCGCATTTCATAGCGAAATGACGGCTAACAGATGGTCAGTCAGGGTCAGTTCAGTCTCCTCTGACTCACAGCACTCAAGTGTCAACCTTGTGAATGAGCATTGCTACCAATTGAGCGATCAAGATAGTCATCGCATCGCTTCGTTGAGGCGGTATGTCAAACGCAAAATTGCGTACTTAAGTCGCTCTAATCAGAGGGAGGTGAGTGCGTAAAGTGAGACTACTATTTCACGACGATGCGGTATGCCTTTTAACTTCGCTAAGCATCCCTCAATTCGCTCAGGTTCTCGGGGAAATCGATCAATAATCCTAGTCAAATAAGCAGAAGGGGAAGAGTATCAATCAGCTACCATATATCCGGGATATCCAGGCCAAACAGTGGGCGGCTGGTACATGGCTGTCAGTGCATCGCTCGATACGGCAGAGTTCGATGTTTGGGCCACGTATGGTGGGACGTTTGACTAAAAATAATAGATAAATAGATCGTTCAAACACACAGCTTTCATTATTATGCATAAAATAAAGGAATAAGGAAGGAAATTATTTGATGACTCAACGAATCAATGGCAGAAATAATATCTAAAGGTTTACACAGCTTTTATAGCATTTTGAAAATTGCAACAGGCTTCTGTCAAAGCACTTTCACAAATTCACATGCTGCAGTAACGTATATAAACTTAAGGTATAGCCAGAATACTCTTACTCTGGGACTTTTCATATGACTGTAAGGGGAGACAAAAAAGTTGTGAACAGAAAGCAGTTTGAATTGAAATGATTGCACAGCAAATTGCAATTTTTTCAGTTAAAGTAGCTCATTTTCTTCAAATAACTTTAACTGGAAAAAATATCAAGATATAATAAGATGTAGTGATATAATGAAAAAGAATTATGAGTCAAGAGAACTTGTTAAAGGCGGAGATTTCCCAGATTAACTTCAACTAATCAATATTTGAATTTAAGAACAAAATCTGGATATGTGTTCTAACGTCGGCATGTATTATAATAGTTATCATGAATCTTCTTCAAAGTAAATGAATCGAATAAACTTACAAGCGTTAAAAACACATTCTCCTAGGTTTAAAAAATTATTCTCTTAAACACTGTTTTAGAGTACATAACTCTTGAAACATGAAACTCTTGGAAAAAAAAACAACTTTAAAAAATGGATCAAATTCTT